TAGGTAGGAAAAAACTTCAGAACACTGAACACACTGAACACTGCTATTTGGGGGCAGGGATGATGGTGGAGGATTTGAAGCAGGATGGCACTTGGCATCTCTCCAGTGAGGTGTGAGGACCGAGCAAGACGTAAATAGGCTTTTTAAAAAACAAAATCCCCGCAAAGCAGCTGAACGGGACCACGTCTCAACTGCTATCCTGAAGGCCTGTGCTGACCAGCTTTCCCCAGTGTTCACAGACACCTGAGCTGTTAACACACTGCCCACAGCAGGCTCCAAGCATGGGGCTCCTCTGGGAATTGAACCCAAGACTCTCTGCTTGTTGCTTCAGAGGCAGGCGTGCTAACCACTACACCATAGAACCAACAATAACAGGGTTTACAGCTAATAATAAAAGTTTCTAGATCTCGGGAGCAGTACTGTAGGATCACTGTTACATCTCTACACCAGCCATAGTTTACATAAAAACAGATATCCCCACCTTTTAGTGATGGGAAGACCGACTCTTTTTACTAGTTCGGATCTTTGACTCTCGAACTGTAAAATGAACGAGTCGTGAACGAATCTTGAACGAATAATTTCATTCGTTTTACAGCAGGTGGCGCTTTAGCCCTATTGTGGGCGTTGTAAAGAAGGCTGCGGTTTTCCGACACTAAATACTGAAGGCAAGATGGTTTGCTTCCGCTGACAAAGTCTAAAAAGTACACAAAATACCATTAGCAATTAAACCATGTGAAAACATAAAGAAAAACACACCACAATGTGAAGATGAATGAGAGCAAAAGAGACTCGAGCTCTCTGTCACGTGACAAATGAAACGAATCTGCGAGAACGAAGCGAACGATTAGTTCACAGAGAGTGATTCGTTCATAGTGAAAGATTAGTTCACAGTGAAAGATTAGTTCGCAGTGAGTGATTTGTGAGTGATTCGTGAGTTCAATATGAACAAATATTTCATATGACTCGGGAGTCACGAGTCATATGAAAGGAATTCATTAGAAGGAATCACTCGCGAACGCGAACACATCACTAGTTGGGACCCAGCCAGCTAGAGCGCTGGATCTGGTGTTGATCCACACAGCCATGTCTCCGTGAAGCACGGGGAAGCGGAGGAGGAAACATCTCTGTTATTATGCACAAGTAGCTGAAGTTCGTCTACTTTGTTGGGCAGTGAGCACACGTTAGAGAGGAATATGCCGCGGCTCGTTTCCACCTCTTCCGACGCGTGCTTTGGTAATGACCAGGGCGCCTTTGAGTAAAATGTCCGTTGAAGAGGAGAGAAACTCGGGGAATAAACCCAGTGGAGTTGTGCACGGATGTTTATAAGTTCATCCCTGGTGTAAAATCTCTGGGAACCAGATCAAACACCGGGGTAAAAACACAAAAACAGTAGGAGCGCTGCACCAAACACTGTGTCGACCGTCCGCGGCGCCATCGAGTTGGTATCTCCAACTACTCTTTTACTTAGAGTGGTGGTTTATCCTAACACGTGATTTTCGGGTACCAAACCCTCTCTGCATAATATGTGCAGTAAAGCATAATGGCGAGTTTTTTTGAGTGTGTGGTGCCAAAAAAGGGTAACCTGCTCTGTGTAGATCTGGAAGACATGACTGTTAAACATGAATGTTAAAGGTACCACAGAGAAACAATAAACATACTGGATCATGATGGTGAAGATACTAGTCAAGACAAATGGGTAGATATAAAACATCAATGGACTATGTAAACGTATACATTATGGTAATTAGAAACAGTATTCTAAGGTGGTGATATAGAGGTAGGTGATAAACTGTGGTGAAGGAAGCAATGTGAAGACCTTTCATGACATCGGAGCTGCAGCCCAGAGTTTGTGAATGATTGTAAAGAGTTTATTTATGACTACCTGTTCTAACATACTGTATGTGACGACAAAGTAACAACACAAAAGACGTCTGGATCTTTTACTTGCAAGGGGAGAGTGCAGCTTGCTGTTCTGGCTGCTTCCTCATCAACTCCGAGTAGCCACACCCTTCCTCTGCACTTTTATTGAGTTTATAAAAGTATCATATTACATATCATGTGATCGTGTGTGAGTATATGAATGGGTATGGAGTAAGAAGGTGGGTGTGACTGTCTGGTAATTTCTCCATCAGTCACTAGATTATAATATGAGAAGCAAACAGTTTCTTAAAGCGACAGTACAACATGATGCAATGATAATAAATTAAATTCTTCCAACACTACCCAAGTACTGTTAACATTTTAATTTCTTTACTTAAAAACAGTGACACACAGAAATATAATTACAAGAGCGGAGAGTACATACAGGTCAGAGAGCCCCCTCCCTCTTTTTTAACCATGGATTTAACAAATCCTGAAAATTCGAACAGCTGTAGCTCAATTTTGACATATCTCTCAGGTTTGCATGTTAAGTGTGGAGATCACACACCACCACCACCCAGTGTATCACTTCAGAAGGACCCATCACTCTATGCCTCTTTGCAGTGCTACATTATCTCACACACAAACTCATTACACAGACAAAATCAACTGCATCTGACATTTGCTCAGCAGGGAGTTTTGTTGTTACTCATTTATTAAGTAATAATTGGGATTTTGTAAATCTGATCAAATTAGATGTGGCAATTGACTTTGGGCAATGCTCAACTTTGTCCTACTGAACCAGCTCAGGACACTGTGACACCTCGGTGTAGGTCAAGCTGAGCAGAGATGGGTTTATATTGTAGACTGTGTATAAGAACCAGACAGAGCCCTCCATTCCTGAAAGTGAAGCCAATAAGATATGATGGGCAGCTTTGCTTGTTGTAAAAGGAACACTTCACAGGCGACATTCCAGCACAGATACTAGTACCAGGACCCAGTGACAGTACTTGGAACTATGCGCTTTTCTGCCGCAGGATCAGCATTGAAATGGAAGAACTGGGACTGTTTTCAGCCCCAAAAAGATTTGTTGCATAAGAGGTAGTAGTAAGGGGAGTTGGACAGGTACTGTAGTGGTGGTGTTTTCACTATGTATCTACAGTAGTTGGTTGAACCCACGTTTGCTAATTGTTTTTTTTTTTAATTGCTGCAGTTGCTTCAAACCATAGACTCCAATATTGTCTGACAGAGACTTCAATGAGAAAGTCCAGGCACTTTTGAGCATTTTGGCAAAGTGGACACTGAAGTTTCTTTCAAAGGAAGCGAGCCAGTAAGTCTTTATCATAATAAAAACATGATATGTGAACATGCCTTTTCTTGTTTCTTTTGTAACTACAGGGCTGTGTCTATTTCTTATTCACAGTTTGCCATTTGTATGCAATAAAAACAGTTGACAACTGGCATCAATTATGTGCACCATATAAGCTCTAAATGCATTATACACGATTCATACTTGATGACAAGTGCTGCTGCCATCATCTTGTCACTATGAAAAGAGTGGCTGTGTTGTGTTTGGTTTGAATGTATTTTTACAGGAAATATGGTGTTGTCGTACGGGGCGGGATGACCCTTTCAGAGTCGGGCACCGCTCTGAAGAGCTTTGGCTCTCGTGTGTTTGCATCTTTGAAGACCATAATGGAGGCAATATTTCCACAGCGGTAGCAGTAGTTGGGAGCCGACCACACTGTCACCAGCTTCTCATCAAACATGAACTTGTAGCCTTCATGGACGAGCTGATGCGCTCGACAGATCAGTTTCAGGTTGTTGATGTGAACAAACTGAAGGTACAATGGAAAAAAGGCAAGTAATTATATAACCAACAGGACGGTACTAGTTAATTTAATCCTAACATTTAAATTCATGTTGACAATGTGTTCAGTAAATAGAGATTTCTGGTTTGTACTTATTTGGCATATACAGATCCTTTCCAAAAAATTAGAATATCGTGAAAAAGTTGTTTAATTTCCATAATTCCATTCAGAAAGTTAAACTTTCATATATTCATAGATTCATGGGCCACAATTTAATCAATTTCAGGTATTTATTTGTTTATTTTTTACATAATTTTGGCTTCCAGCTCATAAAACCCACAAAAACAGGATTTCAATAAATTAGAATACTGTGAAGAAATCATCAGGGCATGAATGTTTTAAACTGAGTGTCACACACCAATCATCTACTAAACTCAAAGCACCTGCACAGGTTTCCCCAGGTGTTATTTAATTGCTTTGGTTTGGTTCAATTGTCTCAGTTCGGTTCAATATGGGGAAGACTGCAGACATGACAACTGCCCAGGAGACCATCATAGGATGGGTAAACCTCAAAAATTTATAGCTAAGGAGGCTGGCTGTTCACAGAGTGCTGTGTCCAAGCATATCAATGGAAAGTCTAGTGGAAGGGAAACATGTGGCAGGAGAAGATGCACTAGCAAAAGAGATGACCGTGGGCTTCAGCGGATTCTCAAACAGAGAAGATTCAAGAATCTGGCAGAGATCCAGAAAGAGTGGACTGAGGCAGGAGTCACAGCTTCAAAAACCACCACATTCAGACGAATCCGGGAGATGGGCTACAGCTGTCGGGTTCCTCGGGTCAAGCCACTTCTGAACCAGAGCCAACGTAGGAAGCGGCTCAACTGGGCCAAGGAGAAGAAGGACTGGACTGTTGGCCAGTGGTCCAAGGTCCTCTTTTCCGATGAAAGTAAAGTGTGCCTTTCATTTGGGAATCAAGGTCCAAGGGTTTGGAGGAAGACGGGTGAGGAACAGAACCCAAGCTGCTTGAGGTCCAGTGTGAAATATCCACAGTCAGTCATGATTTGGGGTGCAATGTCCAGTGCAGGTGTTGGTAAACTCTGCTTTCTTAAATCCAAGGTCACCGCAACAGTCTACCAGAATGTTTTGGAGGACTTCATGATTCCTTCTGCTGAGGATCTGTATGGAGATGCAGATTTCATCTTCCAGCAGGACCTGGCCCCTGCTCATACTGCCAGAAGCACCAAAACCTGGTTTGATGCTCATGCCATCACAGTGCTTGACTGGCCAGCCAACTCGCCGGACCTAAACCCCATTGAGAATCTATGGGGTATTCTCAAGAGGAAAATGAGGGGCACCAGACCCAACAACAAAGAAGAGCTGACAGCAAGCATCAAAGAAATGTGGGCTTCCATAACTCCTATGCAATGCCACAGCCTGATTGCCTCAATGCCACGTCGCATCAAGGCAGTGATTAAGGCAAAGGGATTCCCAACCAAGTATTGATGATTGATATATCATTTTGAAAGTACCATATTTTGATTGATTTCTTTTTTTCTTTATTTATTTTCTGCAAAAACAGTATTCTAATTCACAGTATTCTAATTCATTGAAATCCTGTTTTTGTGGGTTTCATGAGCTGGAAGCCAAAATTATGTAAAAAATAAACAAATAAATACCTGAAATTGATTAAAATGTGGCCCATGAATCTATGAATCTATTTAACATTTCACTACATTTCTTTTTTCTTCTACTTTTTCTTTGCAAATCATTAAAATAATGAGCAGCTTACCTCATTTGTGACCTTTGCACCAAACAGCCATCCAGCTCCTCTGGGACTGATGGCCCAAGTATCAACATCTTCTGGATCTGACCACACCAAATCACAAAATGCTCCTTTGTGTGGGATCTCCTGGTTCCGTTCAATGGTCCGAATTTGATCCAAAGTTTTAATGTCTGGAGACAGGCCTCCATGCACACACAAGATCTGTTCATCCATTAACTGAAACAAAAGACGCAGCATCACAAAAATTATGTCAAACATCTGATGAAGACAGGAGTGTTTGCTAAAATTCATGTAAGAAACTTTTTGTAAAATGAACCTTAAAACATATTTTAAAACATTTTATGCACTTTATCATGGGCTCTTTCAAAAACCTAAGAATAGCATAAAAACTCAATATCTTTCAGGATTTCAGATACTTACAGCTGCAACTGTTAACATATCAAACACTTTGGTGCAGTAACGCCATGCATTTGCATTTCCATACTTTGTCTGACACTCATCTGAAACAGAAAAAAAAATCCCACACTTAATTTTAAGTAAGAGAAATACATAGACAATTATAATAAATGTGTGTTGAGATCATCAATTCACCATAAAAGCCGTAAACTTGAGTTATCTGTCGGCTTTCGTGATTTCCACGTAGGAGAGTTATGCGGTCAGGCCATTTGGCTTTTAACACCAACAGGTAAGTGAACGTCTCCAGACTATAGTAACCCCGGTCTACAAAATCACCCTGAAAAAAAGAAAGGTGCATTTTAAAGTAGGGTATTTAGCAAAAGATAGAAAAAGCTTTAAATATTAAATTATACAAACCATAAAAATGTAATTTGTGTCTGGAACCTGGCCCCCCGTCCGGAAAAGCTCACATAGATCATAAAACTGGAATACAAAGAGATACATTCAAATCCTACTTTCTGTTTAAACTATCACAATTAAAATGTTTTTGTACTGATTTACCTGGCCATGTATATCTCCACATACTGTCACAGGAGTGGAGACAGGCTGAACATTGGACTCTTCCAGCAGGAGATCACACACATAGTCACATAACCGCTGATCACAAAAAAAATACATGAATACACCATTAGTCTGTTGAACTGACTTGAGCCACATGTTGCTTAAGCAATTCTTAGTTAGAAAAGAAAGAGACACTAAATGAAACAATTCATTGAAATTTAAAGACCAAGTCTTCAGTCATGACTTATTTCAGAATCAGAAACATTTTTATTGCCAGGTTGGTTTACACCTACGAGGAATTTGTTGTGGCATACAGTGCTGCGAAAGAAATGTACATGGAGGTATACAATTTATAAATAGATTGTGCCTATGGGTGGACATATACAGAATAATAAGAATATACAGTCCCCTCCAAAAGTATTGGAACGGCAAGGGCAATTCCTTTGTTTTTGTTGTATACTGAAGACATTTGGGTTTCAGATCAAAAGATGACTATGAGACAAAAGTTCAGAATTCCAGCTTTTATTTCATGGTATTGACATCCAGGTGTGTTAAACAACTCAGGACTGAGCCCCTTTTCTTTGAACCCACCCACATTTCAAGTGAGCAAAAGTATTGGAACATGTGACTGATGGGTGTTTCTAGTTGCTCAGGTGGTGCCCTTTAGATTGATTGCTGAGACATTAAATAGTTCTTGCTTTTGGCTTTGGGTTTCACCTGTGAAAGCAGTATTTGCTGTTAAGCAAACATGAAGACCAGAGAGCTGTCAATGGGAGAAAAGCAAATTATTTTGAAGCTGAGAGAAGAGGGAAAATCGATCAGAGCTATTGCACAAACATTGGGCATAGCCAGTACAACAATTTGGAATGTCCTGAAAAAGAAAGAAACTACTGGTGTACTGAGCAACAGACATCGAACAGGTCGGCCA